ACACACCTGATTACCGCTGCAGAATGCTGTTTCAGATAGACAGGTGCAGGAGTATAGTTGATCTTCCATCCTTCTGTTTTCACTCTGATGTTCCTGGTGAGGGTCACCGTATTTGGCTAATCTTTGTGAAAATTCAGGAATTTCTCCTCATTTATGTTTGATAACAAAGGATACTATTTGGGTTTGAGTGTGCTGAAAGTCTTCTTTAGGTTTATGTACAATGTGAAGCGTATGTTTTCTCTTTACTGCTGTTTAAGATCCATGCTATCTTTTCTTTTTACGTGTGCTGTGAAAAGCACTCACTAGGCATTCCCCTTCTTTGTTGGTCCTGGACCTTGACCCCGCGCGTCACTGTGTTTGATGTTTATCCCTCGCAGGTTCGGGTCACATCCAGCAGCCTGTGCTCCGCAAGCAAAGCTGGAAGGGTTCCAAGGAGTCCCTGGTTCCTCAGAGGCACGGGCCCCCTCTGGTGGAGGGGGTGATGTACCGCTCCGACAGCCCCGGGCCCCCAGCGGAGCTGGGAGGGCGCCCCCCGTCGGGCTCGGGGCTCGCGGCCTTCTCCCAGGGACACCCGGGCAACGGGCAGCGGGTCAACCCCCCCCCTCCTCCACAGGTGCGCAGCGTCACCCCTCCACCCCCTCCGACCAGGGGCACCACCCCGCCCCCGCCTTCCTGGGAGGGCAACCCCTCCACCAAGCGCTTCTCGGCCAACATGGAGTACCTGGTGCACCGGATCTCCCCGGTCCCCCAGGGGGCCTGGCCCGACGGGTACCCCACGCCACCCCCGCAGAGCCAGAGAGGGATCAGTCCCGTGCCAGTGGGCCGCCAGCCCATCATCATGCAGAGCTCGGCCGCGAACAAATTCAGTTTTCCTTCTTGCTGGGCGCAGAACGGCTCGGGGCAGCCTGACTACGTGGGACACCAGAACGTGGGCAGCGGCCGACAGCCTCCCCCTCCTTACCCCGTGAGCCAGGGCAGCAGGCAGAGCCCCACGGCTTTACAAATGCAGGGCGGTGGGCCCGCGTCCTCCCCCTCGTACGTGAACGGCGGCAACATCCCCGCGTCCATGATGGTGCCCAGCCGGAACAGTCACAACCTGGACCTTTACAGCCACGGCATCCCCGGCTCCTGGCCCCAGCCGCCCCCTCCCTCCGGCCAGCCCCAGTCTCCCCCGGGCGGGAACGGCCACGAGGTCCCCCCGCCCTGGCAGCACAACATCCCCGTCCGCTCCAACTCCTTCAACAGCCACCAGCTGAGCGGCCGGCAGGGCTCCCAGCCGTCCGCCACCACGGTGAAGGCCATCACCCAGGCGCCCATCCTGCAGCCCGTTAAGAGCATGCGGGTGCAGAAGCCCGAGCTGCAGACCGCCGTCGCCCCCACCCACCCGCCTTGGATGCAGCAGCCGCCGCCCCCCAGCCCGTTCCAGGACGGGCCCCAGCCTCTGGGTCCCGGGGCCGCAGTGGCCGCCGAGGTGCCCAGCTACCAGGGCCCCCCGCCGCCCTACCCGAAGCACCTCCTCCAGCCGCCCGCCCGCCGCGCCGTCCCCCTCCTACGAGTTACCGGCCATGGCGGGCTGCGGCAAGGAGGAGCAGGGGCCCGGGCCCGGCCGGAAGGAGCAGCAGCAGCAGCAGCAGCAGCAGGAGGAGGAGGCGGCGGGAGCCGGCGGGGGCGGCTCCGGGGAGCGGGCGGAGTCCGCGGAGGCGGGGGGCAGCGGCGCGGCGGCCGACCGGGAGAAGAAGCAGATCACCACGTCCCCCGTGCCCGTGCGCCGCATCAAGAAGGACGAGGAGCGCCGAGAGTCGCGCATCCAGAGCTACTCCCCCCAGGCCTTCAAGTTCTTCATGGAGCAGCACGTGGAGAACATCCTGAAGAACCACCAGCAGAGGATCCGGCGCAAGAAGCAGCTGGAGAGCGAGATGCAGCGGGTGAGCGCCGTCTTGATCGCGTCCTCTCGGGCAGCCCCCCCCGCCGGCGTGGCCCCAAGACGCTCCCCTGCGTCACTTAACTTTCATTTCCCCGTCCCGAACACCTTTCTTGGCATATGCAGGGCTGTCCTCATGTCTGTCGAAATACACTTGTGACTCCTTTAGATGTACCACGTTTTCTACTGTAATCTGTCATTTCTCGTCATCGTCTTTACCATGTAAGTTGTAATACTTAAACGCCCCCTTTTTGAGTGCCTCCGAGTTTCTCCTTGATGTTGTTCATGTGAGAGATGAGATGAGATCACTTTATGGGCATATACAATTTCTTGTATTAGGAATTTGTCTTTTCACAGACCCCAGCTTACTCTCCATGAGACACACAGACAGGGAGAGAAGCTGGGGGTCAGAGCGCAGGGTCAGCCATTGTACAGCACCCCTGGAGCAGCTGGGGTTAAGAGCCTTGCTCAGGGGCCCAACGGAGTAGGATTCCTCTGCCTCTAGTCTGAGCTTTTGAATTACTTTGTGGTTTGCGCAGGCTTGTTGGGAAAGGGAGATAAGTGTAGCTGCAGATGGTTAACAGACACTTCCCGACGTTCAGTACAACACCTGTTGTTGGCATCATGCTGCAAAAAAATGCCAAAACATGATGCATAACATTTTTTACAAGGTTCTGAGTGTGTGACAGTTGCTAAACCAGTATTTTTCTCAATTTTATAAGTGTGGTGTGGGTGTGATGGAGAGACGCTTGTTACTTCCTCTAAATCTGTCTCCTGGGGTGGGGGAGACCGGTTTTTGAGACTGGCTACCAGATATTCTGGCTTTTCATTTTTCTCTTTTAATAGCTTCCATTCTACTGCCACCTTTTTGTTTCCAGCTTCTGTGTGTGCTCTTGCCTTTCTCTCTGTTTCCTGAGCTTGTTTCTCTCTTCACTTTCACTAACGGCGGCTGTAGGTGATAAAGGTGCCTGAGGCGCTGTGACCTGAATAGCCTTCACAACTCTCTGGCCAAGTAAGCTCCTGTTGCGCACAAGTCTTATAAATCTGCTGCATGGACGTCTCGCCCCACCTCTGCATGATCACATGACCCGGACAGCGCATGTGTCCAAGGATCTCCGTCATGTGCGCTAGGTTTTGCTTTTGTAACGGGGGGGGAAAAGCCAACATTTTTAAATGCACAATTTTTCCCATCTGTCCTGTTGAATTGAAATTGTCAGTATAGATATTGATAGGATGTATAGTATAGATACTGATAGGATCTGATGGATGGGTAGCGGTTTAAGGCAGGGAAAGATTTTCTAAAGTCCAGTTCAGATGTTACATAACCAGATTTTTTTTCAGTCAAGCAGGCAGGTCTTTAGGGTGATGTTAACAAGGATCCATTATTGTTAGTAAAGAGTGAACAGATAAAGCTTGTTTACAACTTGCGATCTGTGCTTCACATTATGGATTACAACTGTCATATTAAAGATTATTATTAGCTGTAGTGTCTTGGTTGCAAAATACTGAATATCTCATTGCACACATGTAAGCGATGAACCTTGTATAAATATTGTAATGACTTTGATATAACCAGATTTTTACTTGTAAAAGGTCATTTGTGTACATCAGAATTTATCCGTTTATCGCTACGAAGGTAATGCAGTGATTTTTTTTTCCAAACTACTGATAAAGATATTTTAAGTTTATTCTCTAGATTAAGAAGTTATTAGGAAACCTTTGAAATAAGACCTGTTAACTCTGGTTAGGTATTAAAATCCTCAGCTAGAAATGATTTTCCTATTGGAAGTTACTGTCCAGCGTAACTGCTAGGGACGCTGTCCTGGTATTTCAGTAATTAGACGTATGTGATAAAAAGGACTGATTTTAGTAGTTTTAATTTTAGTGCTATATTGCACTAATAATCTGATGGCAATTTCAAATCTAAAAAAGCAAAGGCTCGTTTTATCCTGGTGACTTTTTCATTTGACTCAAAAAGAAACTGCATCTTTAGCTCTTTGAATTTCAGATTCGTATAAGTGTTCCATGTTATTGTGCTCTGTGTGCACTCAGAAAAACATCTGGCACTGTTTTTTAGTTCAGTCCTGAATATTCGCATGTATGGATTGACATTTTAATTTGAAATGTTGCATGTCTGAAAACTTGAAGGGGAATTGCAGTTTCTCAAACTGGTTACTAAATCTCGGGAACAAAAATAAATTCATTAATGGTATAGAAAAAGTTGACAAATTAAGCACGAAATCGTGAACTTTGTAAAAGTGTAGTCACCACTGTTGTCACAAACCCCCTGATCTTGCCACGGGCGAGAGCACGAGTTTGCTCCAATTGCGACATGATGTGGCCCTTCCTGCTCACTAGTCACTGTAATGACGAATGTAACGCCGTGTATGAGGGAATTAGTACAGGCTGTGCAGCAGGCATTCCACTGCAGGAATGTTCCAATGTGACTTGCATGCAGAGTTAACAAATAAGTAGTATTTGTCGGCAAAACCATCTCGAAGTCAGGAGCCGTATTTCTATTTGATTAAAAGAGTTGTCTTCACAGGCCAGCTTGTTTGCAATTTAATAGGGCTGCTTCACCTCACTGGACGTTTTGTTGGCTCGTTCTGAATCACAGAATATGGTGCTGTGCACACCTGGAAATATTGATCTATTTTGTGATGTCAATTGGAGGTTTCACAAATTACCGTGCACATTTTACTTCTGCACTCATCAATCCCAATTCTTTCTAATACCGAGATATCAAGATGGCACTGCAGTTCCCCTTTACCTCCTCATGGAATTGTTCAGTCACAGCTGAGCAACACGCAGCAATGGGAGGACCTTGCACTGTCCTCAAGCTATCACTTAAGCGTTTGCAAAAAATGTTACATGGCAGTTTTTTTTCACTCTGCTGGTTACCATGCATAAGCTCTGGAAAATATGAGGGTCGCCCAGAAAGTAAAATGGTTCCTTTTTTTTCCCTCTGTCAAAATGTTTTTGCCGACTATGTGTGGCGTGACTCTGCAACAAGAAGTATAGACAATCGATCCTTACAGACGTTGCAGTGCTGGCCAGTGGAAGTTCATATTTTGAAAATGGGATGGGATTACTTTCTGGGCAGCCCTCTCAGTTCAAAAAGCTCGAGGCACTACCTGTCAAACGGGAGCATGGGGATGGCGGGTCTGGAGAGGCCCTCGGAGTGGGAGGCTGGGTTCTGATTGACGGGGGGTTGCGTTCTGTGCTTTGCTCAGGTGGGACTCTCGGAGGATGCCCAGGAGCAGATGCGCATGATGCTCTGCCAGAAGGAGTCCAACTACATCCGGCTAAAGAGGGCGAAGATGGACAAGTCCATGTTCGTGAAGATCAAGACGCTGGGCATCGGGGCCTTCGGGGAGGTGTGCCTGGCCAGGAAGGTGGACACCAACGCGCTGTACGCCATGAAGACGCTGCGCAAGAAGGACGTGCTGCTGAGGAACCAGGTGGCTCACGTCAAGGCGGAGAGGGACATCCTGGCCGAGGCGGACAACGAGTGGGTGGTGCGGCTCTACTACTCCTTCCAGGACCGAGACAACCTGTACTTCGTCATGGACTACATCCCGGGCGGGGACATGATGAGCCTGCTGATCCGCCTGGGCATCTTCCCCGAGGAGCTGGCGAGGTTCTACATCGCCGAGCTGACCTGCGCCGTGGAAAGCGTGCACAAGATGGGCTTCATCCACCGCGACATCAAGCCTGACAACATCCTCATCGACCGCGACGGGCACATCAAGCTCACCGACTTCGGCCTCTGTACTGGTTTCCGGTGGACGCACGACTCCAAGTACTACCAGAGTGGTAAGTGCAGGCTGTGTACGCGAGCCTGATAAGATAGATCAGATCACTTTGTGGGCCATATACAATTTCTTGAATTGGGAATTTGTCCTTCCAGATTCCCCAGCTTGCTCTCCATGAAGGAAGAGAAGCTGGGGGTCAGAGCCGATATGAATGTAGCAGTGTTACCCACAGGTGCTGCCTGTGGTTCCCTGCCTCTGTCCATTCGCAGAGCACTGTTCTGTCCTGCTCTGTCACACCACCATGTCCCCTTTCCTCCACGTCCTGGACCAAGCTTAGCGACTGAAGCACCATCGGTTTCCCTGACAGCGCCCATAGTGTTTATCTCAAATGGCACAGTTCAATAAGGGTTTTATAACTGTCAAAGAAAATATCGAATTGTGTGGCTCGGTAGAAGTGTACGTGTGAAATGTGTACGCCTTCATAGAAGTAAATGGAAAGCTGATGTGCTGGATTCGGGGGCTGTAGGAATATAATTGATTTTTTTTTTCTGCTGTTTTTGTCATTGATATCTAGCAAGTACCTAGCAAGATTTTATGTCTATTGATATCTTCCCCATTTTTTATTTTTCATCATGTGACATCCCTTAAACGTTGCCTTTTGGCAGCTTTGTGGCCCAGTTAAAAAATTCTGCTAAATATGAAACAAGATGAGGTG